AGACAGACAGACAGAGAGAGACACAGAGAGCAGAGAGACACAGAGAGACACAGCGAGAGAGAGAGAGACAGAGAGACAGCAGAGAGAGACAGAGAGAGACAAAGACAGAGACAGAGACAGAGACAGAGGCAAGACAGAGACAGAGACAGCGAGAGAGAGTGAGAGCGAGAGCGACTTGTACAGCTGCATTTTCACCCTGGTCTTGCCTGTGCTTGCTCTGCCTGAAGGGCCGCCAAGTTTGTATTTTGAGCCATTGCAATTGCCTGCCGTCTGAAACAAAGCATGACAGTACCCTTCGGAGGGAAACTTTCCAATGCCTGGGCAGCTGCTTGCTTGGCAGCTGCAGAAGCGGCTTTAGCTGCTGCAACTGCTTTGAGCCCCATGGCTCCTACGAGTGTTCGAGAAACAGAACTCCCGCTCTTAGTGTGCGAAATACCCATCGCCTGCGATTGTCATGTCGATCGGCCTCAGCTTGAGTCAGGCCACGCCACATGTTGCCATTTCATGTCAAGTGCGTCTGAGATCCAGGCATGGCGCCAACAGCAAACCGCGGTGCGCAGGCACCAGCGCGGCACGTCAGCAAGGCTTGTACGAGCAGCTTCTGCAGTTGCTATTCCGGTCGCGGCTGTAAAAGATGTAAATGTAGCTACCTGCAGATTGTGGAAGTTACCGTGCCTTCGTCTTGACTTTTGGGGGCCGGCTTAAACTCCGACAGCTTCACACGCAAAGTGCAAGAATCGGATCTCCCTGCGGCGCTTGCGACAGACCAAAACCGAAGAGAGAAGGCCTGCACTCAGGGAGACAGAAGGACCTATATCTTGCGGACTCGCACGGAGCTTGGCGCTGGTTTTTCTACGTCCTTCTAACTTCTAAGGCCTTCAAAGCAGGCAGAGACAAATGCAAAAAGGCACCTATGTCTGCCTCGAATTCATTGAATTGGCCCTCATGTTTGGGACTCCATTTGGAGCTGGCGCAGGAGTGCACGTGCCTGGCGCGAGAGCCATCTGCAAAAGCCACCTGCAAATCGCACTTCCCTCTCTCCAGGTCTCCTCGGAGAATGCCATCGCAAATTTTCGGTTCTCCAGTATGTCCTTTCGAGCGTCACAAGAGGCGAGGACTCGCGCGCAGATGCGGCTTGCAGCTGCAGCCTTCAGCAGGCTCACCGCGGCAGAGGCAGCAAGCTCGCCAGGCTCCCGACCTCAGAGGAGGGACGAGGCTTTTTGTGAGACCTCCGGCCAACAGGCGCCTTCTGAGTCTTCGGCCCGCTGCCAAGGATCGCAGAGAAGCCTTGAAAGGCTAGTCGAAACATGACAACGAAATCAAAGGGCCAAACCGCCAGAACCGCCAGAACCGCCAGGCGCCGCCAGGCGCCGCCAGGGCCGGGGCCGCTCGCAGCAGGGCAACGACGGCCGTAGGATGTCCAGCCTCGACCTGCGCACTGCACAGGACGAGAGCTGTGACAGCTTGCAAACCTGGCCTGATGTCTGGTGGCCGCCGTCACTGCCTCGAAGTGAAACAAACGCTTCCAGAAGCTGTGAGCAAAGCCTGGGATGCCTTATGGCCTCCAAAGCACCAATCGGCGAAGATTCCAACAATCGGCCTGCAAGCTTTAGCTCGAGTTCAACACAAAAGACGCACTATCTGCTGGATAGAGCTTATCGAGGAGCAAGCGAAGAATGGCATCTAGGGTTTCATCGCAAAGCCGAGCAGTCACCTTGCGACGAGGGAAGAAGTGCGCTTTGACACATTCCACGCCAAGTCTACATAGTTCTCAGATGGACCCTGTAAGTCCTGCACAACAGCTTGCAGAAACCAAGCTTGATGAATGTCATGTCAAACGAATATACTGGAAAGCTGTCAACAAATGTGACCACACCAGCTTCACCCCTTTCACCAGAACGAGGTGACGAGCCTTCGTCACCAACACGGCTGCCGAAACGCTGCGCAGGAGCTCGGATCCTCGAGCCGCCCAGGCAGACGCCCCACCTCCGAAACAAAGCAATACGCCAATACGATCCAATATTCATGATGATCTTCGGAGTCGTGGCCCTGGTCTCTGAATCATCGTCAGCAAAGGATTCTACATCATCATCCTCCTTGTCACCCACATCAACAACAAGCATCACAACCATCATCGCCATCATCATCAACATCATCAACAGCATCGACATCATCAACACCATAATCACCGTCATCGTCATCGTCATCATAATCACAATCATCACAGTCATCATCTTCCTCTCTGGGGTGAGCAGATAACGGCCTAGCTGGGTGCGACCAGATTGGTGGCATTTGGTGGTATCATAGACATCTGCTCTCATGCTCTCACTGGGTGTTGCCAGCAGGCTTAGTAAATCCAAAGGCTTCCCCAGTCTCAACTTAACCTTGCCTGAGATGTGGCTAGTTATTCTTGTTACCTGGCTTTCTTCTGTGAGATAGGGCATCCGTGCCGAACAAAGGCTCTTAGATTGCTTTGCGAGAGGTTTTCCACTTGATCGGATAAGCCTTTCTGTTGGGACAGGGCTAAAATACTTCTGATTCTCATTCCGAAGGGCCTTGGATTGGAGAAAATTGTCGGGATGTGCTCGCGAGGACTGCACGTGGGACACGCAGCAATAAAGGAGGGCGAGTTGATGTTTTGCTGCTGGTGCAGGCGTGGCTTTTTTGTTTTGCTGGGTCGGCCGAGGCGCTGCGAGGAATGGGAAATCGGGAATGAAATAGCAGGAGGCCTGGAGTGGAGCGGGATGACAGCTTTTTTGCTGCCGGTGTGCGCCGGAGTTCGTTCATTCATATGCTGCCCGCCGGCAATGGAGCACCCGCGACAAAACTGAACGTGCAAAGGAGACGACTCTCACTCACTCGCCTGCTCCCGCCCGACAACAACTGCATGTTGCAACATGTCTGAGCATCTGCGCCTACCAGGCCTAGCGCTGTAAGCTCGTGAGCGTCCCCTGCATGCTCATGCTCTGGCCTGGGAGGTGACACAGCTCCTGCAGCGCTCGCAAAGCTGTCTTGCCCAGGGCGGGCCTCCGGCTCCTGTGCGCAGATCAGAGCCGGGAAACTTGAAAGCATTGCCAGCAATGCAACCGATGCCGCCGCCCCTTGCTGCCCTTCTTTTTGGGCAAGCCGTTTGCAGTGATTCCCAGAGGCAGGCAGTCGCAGAAGTGCACAGAAAAAAGAGAGGACCAGAACTGAATGCGAAGTGACCGCAGCCGAATGCGAATCACCGGCCCCGATGCATGTCTTTGCTCCGCTGCCTCTGGTTTAACACCATCCCAGTCTGTAGCAGGCTCTGGCTTGCGGAGGCACGGGCTCTAAACCCTCTCTCTTTTCCTCCTCGGCTTCTCTCCCCTCCCAACTGTTGGGGCGACATGACAGTTGCACAGGGAAGCCATTCACCTGTTAGTGCCCTCAATGTCCTGTCGCCCACGCTCGCAATTGCTATAGATACTATAGGTCCCTATCAATCTTTCCCACGTTGCATCTGTGTGAAATTTTTCGCACTATACACTGGGGCCGCAACCCACAGCGGCGAGAGACCGCGACCAGCAAGTCGGAGGAGACCTCTTCCAGTCAGAGGAATGACTCCACCAGGTTCAGAGAAAAAGAACTCACTTGGCGCAATCTCTGCCTCGCGGGTTTCATGGCTTCCATCTCCATGAGCGATTGCCTGAGCAAATGTTGAGGTTTTTTGCCCTTTGCTTGTGCTGCCTGCCTCTCAATGCCTCCTGAGAACTCTTCAGGCTCAGGCAGCCCGAAGCTTGTTGATTCGGCCTGTATCCTCGGACCAGGAACTTTCCTTCACCTGACCAAAGGGTGCACAAAACTCAACCTCGAGCTGACAAACGGTCTGTCTTGAAACGCGGAGACCAAGTGAAACATGTGTTCAGATTTTCTTCAATCCCTGTGCCGTAGCCTCTTCCTCCAAATGACACGCTGCTTGCCAGTCTGCGCACGTGGCGGGCAGGTCCTTCGTCAGTACAAGATGGAGCGACATTTTTTCCAAAGCTAATCCAGGAGCCTTTGCATGATCCACGTACTCTCGACAGTGAGCTTCGTCTGAGTACTTCGCCGGGCTTTCAAGCACTTGGCACAACATGGGCCATGCCGAGGATGCTGCCCCCAAGTACAGGCACTGAAGTCTGGGAGCTCATCCTAGTCAGAGTTTCGAGAAAGCACGAAAAATACAGAGAGCTCCCGCCAGTCCTGAAAATCCCCATCAGGTCGACCTTCCCAGCAGCGTCTTGAGGCAGCAACAGGTGGATGCAATCCGCGTCCACGCCACATGCCTCGCACGGTGCGAGAGCTCGGCCGCCAAGCAACAACGAGGACGACGAGGCCGCGAGGCTCAGACCTCGCTGAGGGCCCGCTTGAAGTCGGCGGAAGGGCACCTGGGCGTCAAGATCACTGTCTAAAGCCCAAGATTGCCTAGCGGCCGCCCCCTGTGGCCGCGACACCAGAGATGCGCGACGGCTCGGCGACGATTCGTTCTCGCCCGGATAGCCAGCCTAAGCTAAGTTACCCAACTGGAACCGTCCCGGACTCCGCCCATGCGAGCCATCACCTGCTTCGCGGCCCGCTGCTTTGCTAAAGCCTCACGCCACCGTCCAGAGTCCAGAGTTGATTTCTCATCGGAATCACTTGCCTCGAGATGGGATAGCACTTCTCGTAGCTCCACCTGTCTGCCACAACGTGCTGCGTGCCAAGTCTCAACCTGCTTACTCGCCGAATTGGCACCAGCCACAGATCGAAGACATTTTGTCATTAATGAATCAACTGCACTGTTTTTCTGGAACAGATTGGACGTGATCCGAAAACAGAACTCATCTGCACGTGTACAAGACAAAAGCTGCTGAAGCAACACTGCTGCAGAACTCACGACGGGCAACAAACAACTCGCAAGTTCAAAGAGTTCAAGACCCAACATGATGGCGCGATTTCGAGTTATGGTGGATACAACCTTTCCGTCGTATTGATCCACTACGTAAACATTCTATGCCCTTAAACTGAATTTCAACACCGAATCTGCCAAACCGCGCCCAGCCAACCTCCGACACATTTCCCATGATGCCAAGTTGGCTGCCAGCTTTGCTTGGCGTAGACGAGCCTAGAATCAATCAAAGCGGAAATCAAATCCATACAGATCATGTGGTGAAGCTGCAAAGCTTGTTGAGGCTGCAACCCAAGCAGCCCAATGCGAATGCTGCGAAGCGGTCCGCAATCTAACAACAGCGCCGAGAACGCAGATTTGGAGCTGATGCAACAAAAGACTTGATGGCCTCCTTCGACGCCACCGGCGATGCATGCAACACTGGTACACATGTTCTCATGACAAAACCAACGGCAGAAATCGAACGTGTTCAATGGCCTGCAGTCATGAAGCGAAGCTGCAGATACGAGTGGATTCATACAACTTTCCGTGACACGACCGATGTGCAGAGGCATGCCAGTTCGTGTATTGTCCCTTGACAATGTGAGTGTTTTTCTGCCATGCATCAAAAAAGTCTAAGCTTGAACCAATATCTCTTCTTCGAAACTATTGCTCGTCGAGCATACCAATGGGAAGGGCTGCAGCTGCAGTTTGTGCGAAGGTACCGCGGCATGACCGTGGCTGCATGGCCATGGCCAAACTGGCCACGCAATGCAGCGCAGCTCGCAGAACACCCCCACACCGCTGCCATGGTGCCGTGGGGGGGGAAACCCCCACTTGCAAGTTTCAAACTACGTCATCTTTTCCAAGCATCCGAGTCGTGCGTCGACCGTGCCCCTACAAACGCATCGAAAGTAAGCGTGTGACTCTCAATTTACTTGAACCCTCGAGGGGGCGAACACTCTCGATTTGCCTGAACCTTCTCGGGGGCGAACACTTGTAATTTACGTGAACTAAAAAAGCCTTAAACCGTGCTTTACCCTCGCAGGGGCTTACACTGTCAATTTCAAACCCTGGTTGTTGGTTTCTAAACCCTAAACTCCCGCACAACAAAAACAGCCATCATCCCATGCGTACTAAACTACGCTCACAATGAATTGATCAGCCTTGGACGAGGAAGCCCAAAACCATCAAATCTGGGCTCATCACGCAAGTCGTGTGCGTACATTGGGTCGCCGACGGTCGCACATGCTTCAGCTAGCGCAGGCCCTCCAATAATGGATTGGAAGTTTGCCGAGGCCTCCCATGCCAACCCCCGCTTGCCCCCTCTTGAGACGCCCCGACTCAGCACACACATCGGGCTTCTGGAGTAGGCTCGTCATACACAGAATCATGAAGTGAGCAGTTAGACGATGGAACTTTTGTCTCGTGCTCCACTGCGCCACACGCACCTCTTTCATGCATTTCATGCCGAAAAAGGCTGTCCGAAACCCCAATCGCTGAATGATCTCGCTGATCTCAGCTGTACTTTGAAACACAGATCCTATCTACGACGGCAATCTTCCCATCCCTGCAAGGCTTTTGTCAAAGGCAGTACAAACGCTACAGCAGAAAGTCGACTCTTTGTGTGCCAAGGGAAGGGAGGGAACTAGAGCGAATTCTGCACCTCAGCTTCGCCTGTCCTTGGCTTGCTACCGGCTACGTTGCTTTGCAGTACAACGGATGTGGCAGAGGTCGCATGGCCGCCAAGATTCAAGTCATCCATGACGCGGTCGCATGAGTTGGCATTCCCGAGGCGTCTTACAATGCATGCGACAATGCCCCATTCCCACTTGTGTGCAATAGGCCGCGCGCGACAGGACGCAGCAGAACAGCGACTCCGGTTTGCAATTTATTGCTTGGCCGAGGCACAGCGAAGAGAAGGTGAGCGCGACGAGCAGGGGGTTGCAGTTGCTGTGTGCATCTGACACGGCAAAAGACATCGTGCAAGGGACACTTCAAGCCCCCTAGAACTTAGAACAATTCGAAACCCGGCTTCCGCGATGTGCTTCTGCGCTTCTGGCGAAAGCTGATGCGTGGGCATCATGCGGCGCCTCAGGTGCGCTCCAGGTGGTTTGCTCATGCGCTCTTCTTTGATCCACAATTTCTTGATTTTCACTCTATCACAATTGACAGCACTGCTTGCACTGTCGGAGAACAGCATTGCCATTATTGCTGAAGCAGTTGTCAGGCTCGGACACAAACAATTTGCCGGCAAGTTGAAGCCATCTTCTCGACACTCAACGCTTGCCCGATTGTGGCAAAGGCAGGTTCGATGGTGATGGTTGGGATTTTACTGCTGGCATTCAATCATTTTCCTTTTGTCGTGCATGCTGCATATTTTATGCGCTTCGACTTTCCCAAGATGTGGCAAACAAATACAAAAGTAAAAGCATGCCTACAAGACAATGGGGTTCGAGCCCTGCAGTCTGTCCAAGGACTTGGCAGCCACTGTATGGGCGATTGTGGCTGCACCTGTTCGGCACGCGTCGAGCGTGGCTGTCAATGGCCAGTCGGCCCGCCTCGACAGCCGCTTCCCAGCTGTGACGACTTGCCCGCCTTTCTCTGCCATTTTGACCTGGCAGGGCAGCATTTCGATAGCCATCACAAGCACGGTCCGCAGATCAGATCACTTGCGACTCCGCTTTTACATCACTTATTCCTATACCTTCTTGTTGATCCTTGGCAACTGCACTTCCAATATCGTCAACATAACTTGCGATGCTAGCGACCTGTCCGGTCCGAGATTTACGATTCTTCTGAACATTGGCATGGATTTCTTTCAGCTCAAAGGTATTCCGCGGGTCTTCTTCTGGGCAGGACGGCAACATTGGGGCTTTCGGTTGGTGAGTTAAGTTTACGCACCATCACCCACCCCGACTCCCCACCTAAGATCTCTTGCTCGACGCTCACCCTTCGCGAGGGAGAGGGAAACAAGGCAACATTGTAGGGTTCCAGCGCTCCTCGAGCAAAACATAAAAGGCTCAGGGTTTCGCAACATCTCCACAGCAATTTCCTTTCCGAATCGGACGGCTCCCAGTGCGAAGGTTTAGGGGCGACAAGGATTTTTCTCTACAAACAAGTTACGGTTTTCTGCTCTTCTCAACACTGATCATGGGCGGCCGACTGCGACATTGTTTTTAACTTGTTTCCTCAAAGATGGTCATGAATGGACGCGACTGTGGTTCTCCGCAGCCTACACTGTACATGGTGTCGTAATGTGTCGTATATCGACACCAAGTATGGTCGTTCATGCAAGTGCTTGTAAAATGCAACCAATTTGTCAGCCCCCCCTTGGCCGAAAAATCCCTTCACCCCCGACCTCCCCAGCCATTTTGTGTCGCAGTCAACCGCTGCATACCTCTGCGTATCACCACTTTGAGCTAACGGAGGGCAATTGTATATTGCACTCAATGCACAAACAAACATGTGCATAAAGTTGAGCTGTTGAGGTCGTTCTTTCAGCTCATTTCATTGGTTCTTCAGTCAACTGCGTTCTGCAAAGCCTTGAAGCCCCCAAGCTCAGTGACCACAGCATACGACAGCGACCGGTACGTTTGCACGGCACGTGTAGAAAGACATCCGAGGCATGGGGATGGGCGCGCCTTTGGCCTGTGATCTTGCTTTGGGCGCCTGTCATCACAGTAGGAATGAACCTATGTCAACGTCTTGTAAGTCTGTGTGTCACGGCCCCAAACTCTCCTTCGAAGTCTTCGACCCTGTGGGGCGTAGCGACTGACCTTTGCACCGCTCCTCATTGCCGAACGAACCCTTCAGTTTTAACTCAGATGTTCTGCAAAGACCGGTGCAGTGCAGTGCATTTGCATCCTTGGTCCTCTCGACCAAGACCACTTCCTTCTCAGCTGCACTTTCCTTCAACTTCCTGCGGCTTCCGTGATGAAGCCATCTCACTCACCGATCTTAACACAACTCAGGGCAGAAGAACTTGCAGAACCTGCTACGAACGCGTCCCAGCAATAATCCGCGATTACAGAAGCTGTGTGGGGGGCCGGGCGCCTCTCCGGACCGTACACATTTAAATGACGGGTCCGGGGATTGAACCAACACACCTTGGCTGGAGGGCTTGTGAGTGCAGGGTGGGTGGGTTCATTTTAAACCCAAAATCCTACATCCTAAACCCTACACTCTACACCCTAAACCCTGAATCCTAAACCCTAAACCCTACCCCCTAAACCCTTAAACCTTAAACCCCAAACCCTAAACAACCTTAAGCCCCAAACCCTAAACCCTAAATAAACCCTAAACCCTAAACCTAAACCCTACACATAAACCCTTAGCCATAAACCCCAAGCCTTAAACCCTAAACCCCGGACCCTAAACCCTAAATCCTAAACCCTAAATCCTAAACCCTAAATCCTAAACCTTGAACCCTAAACCTTTGACCCTAGACCCTAAACCCTAGACCCTAAACCCGTAAACCTTCAACCCGACACCCTAGACCCTAAACCCTAAACCCCAAGCAAACCTTGAACCTTGAACCCTAAACTCTAAACCCTAAACCCCAAACCTTAAACTCTAAACCCTAAACCCTGAACCCTCAAGCCCAGGATAAATACAAATTGTTTGATCTATTGTGCGTGGCCCTGTAGATTTTGTTTTGCTTTCAATGTTTGACGAACAAATTGCAAGCGCAGAAACGAAAGTTGTAGAAACAAAAGTGTTTCCGCGGTGCGTCTTTAGAGGTGGCCGCAAGAGGGTAAGTAAATTGAATTGAAAAGCCCGAATTCCCGACGGGTTAAAGTAAATTGAAGTGCGGAGCACCCGGAAAGGATTGGCTGAACAAATTGCTTGAAAAGCAAGCAAAATTGAAGAAAAAGCAAAAGGAAAAGGGCGAAAAGGGCATGGTATTTTTTCTTATGCTCATGGTTTCTCACCTTATGCTCCCGGTTTTTTTTTATGCTGACGGTTTCTGCCCTTATGCGCACCCGGCTTTTCCTTATGCGAACCTGGCTTTTCCTGATGCGAACCTGGCTTTTCCTTATGCTCCCCCCTGCCTCCCCCCCCAAATCTGGCTTTTCCTTATGCTCCCCGCCCTTCCGCCCCAAAACCTGGCTTTTCTTTATGAGTCTGGACTAGCTAAGCTCACCACGTTGTGGATAAACATCCATCATGATATACAGTAGATAAGGATTCAGGATTGCTTGGCAAAGTTGTTACTCCCCTTTCTTGGTTGCTATTACAAATCCTAAACTATATTACATAATAAGCAACCTAGATATACTGTATAATCTTTTTCGTTGCTACATGATATTTGTAATCTTTTGAATAAAACATAACATAGCTGTAATATCAAACATAATGTAAAGTATATGTACATAATACATAAATAATTGTAGACATATAACAGATATTATACAAAACATGTGTATATATACACACTATAGTATATATAACATACAC